CAGTAGAAGACTCTAGACTCCAAAGAATGTTATTTTATGTGCTTGGAAGGTGTAAACTTGAAGCATCTTATATATGAATAGTGTTCTCTCAAAGAGTTTGATTGAGCAAGGAAAGAACCAAAATTTGGCAAACAAAAAAAAAAAAGAAAGCTACGAGCAAAGATCGACCCTCATGAATCTTTATTTTATGTGGGCAAACCATGAGCAAGTAGACAGATTTGCTTAAGCTTTCCAAGATGGGAAGCAACTGAACCTTGCTCAATTGAAAAATCAAATTCGAAGAGAGCAAAATCAAGATGATATGATGACAAGAACTGATGAATCAGAAAGATTCTCGAAATGAACCCACAAATTTTGGACTTACTTGTATTTTTAAAAAAAATTTAGAACTATGATTGTAATTAGTTGTTTATTTTTTTTCTTTTCTTTTTTGTTTCATTTGAATAGGAGGGTAAAATTGTCATTTTATTGGAAAAATGGTTGAAAAGGACCTTTTGTGCGATGAAATGTGGAAGGTAGGGGTGAATATGCTAAAAAATGAAAGGTAGGGACGTTTTGCACAATGATATTGAAATGTAGGGACTTTTTGTGCTATTTACCCAATAATATTACGCGTAAACCCAAAATTTTTTCTTATTTTTTAACTACATATCCTACAATAAAAATCACTAATCTAAAATACATTTTCCCCAAAATTTGATTTTAATGGTGCCAAACAGGGGCTAACTGTAATTTATATGAAAAACTTATGTATGCCAACCACCATGGATAATTACAAAAAGTACATACAACCACGAATCATATGAACACTAATAATCTCATAATCGCAGATAACCAAGTCGATTGAAATTCTACCCAAGTTCCCAGGGGGGAAAAAAGAATACCCATGGATTAAGAAGCAAAATGCAAATGAGCCATCTTATAAGTGACAAAAAACAAGAAAGAGAAAGAGCTCAAAAATGTCACAAATGAAGGAATTAGACTGTCAATTTCTCAATTTTATAAGATTAGGGATTATAATTTTTGCCGTTTATTTTTTGTTAGTTTTCATTTGGGTTTTACTTCAAATTGAAACCCAACCAAAGTTCCCAACCACCCAACCTACTTAATTTATTAAAAATGATGCTGAAAGTTCATAGGGATAACAATATAGAGGATCGTAGAATCCAACGGGATTGTAAGATTCTACAGTTTTAAGATCCTACACCAGTACCGGATCATTTTGTCGATTTGGGATCATAGAATAGCATGATCATAATATCCTGTCAATAGTTTAACAACCATGGTTGTGCACATTAGTATGTGGTAATCATTGCTGGCCTGCTTTTTGACAGCCTAAGAAATGTTTGCCTGCACGATATAATGATGTGGCAGTAGTGGTTCGTAAGACAATTATGCGGTTCTTTCTCTGGTGTAGATTGAAGTGTGAAGTGGCAATGTGCAATTTTCTCTTGTGAGGCTTCGTAGCTTGAAAGTTTATTATATGATTATTGGTTCTTTACTGGTCATGTTCTTGGTTGCTGTATACATGTAGATGTTTATCAAGGCACAGTCGAAGACAAAACAAATTCACTTCAACTAGATGACAAGAATCTTGTAATATATTATAATAATGGACCGCAGAAAAGCCTGTCCAACTTTCCAGAATGCAAATTTAATAGCTGAGAGAAAATACTGTAACGCCCCAAAATTTCATACATCTTAAGGTGTTACCAACAATAATTTTCATGTACTTAAAACGCGGAATTGTAAAATTCTATTTTTCTAAATAAACAAAATATTCATAAATTTAAATTAGAATCATAAATCATGTATTTAAACAATATAGGCATTCTCAACTACTATTATTGGATAAAACGAACTAATAAATTTTAAAAGAAAAGCGGTAAAACTTAATATTCTCGTTGGATGAAATCCTTTGGCAGTCCGCTGCATCATCCTGCCAAAGATCTAATCGACCCGAACTAGCCTGTAAAAATTGTAATAGTGAGTATTTTGAAAACACTCGGTAAGATACATGCAGTTTCCATACACAATTATATGCANCCCAACAAGATACGTGCAGATTTCATACACAATTATATGCAATATAATAACAATTCATACCACTCTTCTCTTATGAAGCATCTCGATGACCAAGAGATACATTCTTCTAGGTCATCTTAGATTCCCGAAAGATCTCTTATCTCTTTCTAAAGAACCTAAAGGCCCATTGGAAATTCATGCACAAATTATTGAACATAAATGTATAAGGAAACAAAACAACTTGCACAAGGTATCTTACCTCGTTAGGTCTAATGAATTCTTGAAAGAATTTCAATGCTTTTGCCGTATATACTGTATATAAAATTTTATGTGTGAATAAAGGAAACTTGGTACAGTATTTATAGTTGAAAAGTAAAAGAGTTATGGTATAATATAAACTCTAATCCCAAGTGCCGTGCCCACTGCTCTCCAATAAAATTAATTGGATAATGATGTTTGTTTTGAAAAGTCTTATCAAGCTTAACAAAAATTTGATTGCATTGACACGTGGCTGCCCTACCCACTTAAATAATTTCAAAAACACACGCGCCGGCAAGAAACTATATTATCCCATCAGATTTCGAATCTCCCGATACGTAAAAGCCTAAAATCCTTAACCATCTAAATTTATATACCCGTAATAGGATGTGGTAACCGCCAACTAAGTTTAAATTAAATATAAAAAAAAATCTAATAAGTGATAATCTCATAAAACTACAATACGTTGGGCATCACATATCCAAATTAATCTTTTTAACAATTATCAAACCAAAATATAATTAACAAAATAACATTTATCAAAATATGATTACCACTTATCTTCACGTCTGCCAGAAAATTTAAATCATAACCAATCTAATTAATTACCAATTAAAGATAATTTCTTTGTATTTCAATAACTTGAACTTAACTTATCCAAAATAACTTTTTTTTCGAGCCTAAAATGCATAATTAATTACGAGCTATCCAACGAGTATAATATTGATATACAAAATCTCGTTTTATCAAAATCTAATTATTTGGCCCACATAAAAAAAAATAGAATTTATAACTTATTTCATTTTAATCCTCAAACTTCAAAATATAATATATAGAACCATAATTTTTATTCTAAGATTTTTGGGATGCTACATCTTAAAAAATTTTGTCCTCAAAATTACGTGCGTTCGGGCCATCTGTTGCTTGTTCTTGTGTGCATGGTCTGGTTGCTTAATGTATTATCCTGATCTACAAATTAAGGCTCCAGCATGCTCCCAACGAGAATCAGACAAAGCAGAAAACCTAAGTGACACCAGCAAGCATAAAAAGGATGACGAAACATAGTTCCCCATTCCAATTAGAAAATTAAAGGAAAATACCTAACCACTAGATTCCTTGAGATATGTAGTTGTGCACAAAGCTAGGGTTCTAGTTATGGAGGTTTATGTTAGTCAGTGGATGGGGTTGCCTTCGGATACGAGGGGAAAAGGGGCAACCTGCGATGCAGCCCTTGACACTAATATGCTTACCTGGTTGAGTTGCTATTATTTTCACACTATCTTGTATTAAAAAGAACATTTGATGGTAGGTCTTGTTATGGTCTAAATCAAAATCTAAGATAATGTATCCGGAGCATTTTTACAAGCAAGGCTCCTCAACAAAATATCTTGCGTATGCAAATTATTTCCAGCTGATTGTGGACTACTAACAAATCTAGTAAACATTTTTCAAATAATCAATCATCAGATTTTGATCATCTGGCTCATAATTTTATGCAGGTCTATAAACAATTTAAAGACAGTCTTCTTATAATATATCTTACTAATTTGTTTGAATTTAACAATCTGATTTTAACAGTTGTGCCTCCAAACAATTTACTGGTTTCTTGCACGATTTATTTGTCTGATAATAGAGATGAACTTGAGGGGAGATAATTTTTACACTGTCACTATTCACATACTACAATTGATGCTGCAATTATAATAGTGATTGAGATTGGCATCTCTGTAATATTATCAATATGTCATTGATATTTATGTTTTTCGTGTGCACATGCCAACATCCTATTAGATCCTTGACAACTTGCTTTTTAAAACTAATTATTCTTCTTACTTAGTGTTCTATTTCCTTTTTTTCATTTGCTGCTTCTCCTTTAGTAAATTCAGCTTGTTAACTGAGTTTTTGGAGCAGTAAAACCCTGATGCTTCTTTAAGTTTTACATTAATCAATCTGTGTCACTCTACAATGTAGACGCTCTTTTGAATATTTATAGAGATGTTTCTTGCTTATGTTGCAGGCTCTTAAAGTTATGGCACACAACTATCCTAATACAATTGTTTTATGTTGGGGGCAAGTTTCATCTACTATTTATACGGTTTTGAAATTCTCCCCTGATGATCCAGCAAGATCATGGGGGGGTAATGTTGAACACACTATTGGAGCAATCAGGGAGAGAGTCATGGCAGCTGGGATAAAGGTGGACACTACTTCTTTTACATGGGGTTTATTGTCGTCGTCTATTAACTTCTACTAGTGTAATAAAAAAATTCTTTCTTAGTATTACTTGGTTTTGAATTCTTCCTCATTATTTTCTACCTCTGTTGTGATGGGAAGCTAGGAACTGCGATATATAGTGGGTTTATGTTAGTTAATCAATAGAGGTGATTGTAATTGATTTGTTTTTTCGGATGGAAGAGCAATGATTTGGAGAAAATGAAGAGGTTAACTCTCCATTTCTCTATTTTATCATGCCCACATTAGTATTGCGCATTTCCTAGGGAGATTTGCCCTGACTTTTTCCCCCAACTTCGGAGATGTGTTTTTCCTGATTTCTGTGACTAAATCGTTGAACTTTTGGCGGTGCCAAGGAAGCCAATGTTTTATGGAGGTTCATGATAACTCTCACGATGTAAAAATGGTGTGAGAGGAACACTAGAATTTCTTAGATTCTCTTAATGCTGATTTCTTATGGGTTCAAGTAGTATTTCTTTCTTCACTTTGGGTGGGGGCTGCAGGCTGTTTCTCTGGTCTAGCTATACCGAATATTCAACTTGACTGGAACACAGTTTTTTTACTTTATTTCCCTGACTTTCTACGTTCTGTACTCGTTCTTCATTTGTCTTCCTATCTATTATCAAACTCTGCTTGTATTGAAAAGTTCACATACTATGCACATGACATATTGGTAATATGTTTGAGCAACATTTTGTCACACACCTCTTTGAGGCTGGAGCTGTTGTTTCCTCATTTTGGAAGTGAGTAAGCTTTTCTGTTGGTTAGATTACTGATTTGTATGGTGCACAATAAAACCAAAATAATTTAGATTTGATCAAAATATTCTTAGTTACCAACTTGTAGCCTTTGTAAATTATTAGGGACTATGATGTAAATAATTCTTTTCCTTTCCTGTATATACTTTGTCACGATGGATGAATGAGAACAAGAATCTTTTCTCCCAAAATCTACTTGGTATCAGAGCAATCGTTTACCCTAGTGCCCGCGTCGACGTCGTTTTCGGTAACCTTAGTGTCGAGGACCTTTTTCCGGCTGCCCAGTCGCAATTCAGACGTGATTTCCGGCTGCCCAGACTCGATTCCAGCGCCGTTCTCCTTTGCCCAAACGCCAGATGTGATTTCCGGTGCCATTCTCCTCTGCCCAGATGCCAGACGCGATTTCCAGTACGCTTGCTCCTCTGCCGTTCTCCTCTGATAGGTTTGGTGGTTGTTTTTGATTGGTTCCCTCTCTAATTCTGGTCCTCTTGTTCTGACGGGGTACTCTGGTGTTGTTCATTTTGCTGGAGATTCGTTGTTGTGCAATGTGTGTTTTGTAGTGTTCTTAGTGTTTTCGTCATGCTGCGTGTATCTCTCTCGTATCTACTCTTGCTAAGGTTTCAAATTTGTCTTGTTCTATCAACATCTTGTTGATTTGTTCCTGAATTTCTGCTCTAGATCAGTGCTTCTTGACTTTTGGGAGGCTGACTTATCTTTCCCAGATTCTCTGTCTCTTGCTAGCCTGCACGTGATTCTCCCTTCTGGGTTCTAGTTTGACCGTGTCTGCCTTAATCCGAGTAGTGTGTGTTGGTGTATTAAGTTGAGCTTAAGGGTTTGGAGTGAACTTGTGATATGTGAGTTGATTAAACCGTGCCCTAAACCTTTGTAGTTGCCAAAGGTATTGGTTTTGCACATTCTAAAGCTTCTTGGTGGTGGTGCTACCTTGTTACATTGGGTTGTTGTTATCAGTCAGTGTAATTTGAATTGTTTGCATTTGGTGGTTCCCGTGCTATCTATTCTTGAAAGAATGGCTTCCCACGTTGCTCGTTCATCTCCTGGGAAAGGTATCTTTGAATTGCACTCTACTTCTACTGCATTTGATTGTTGGGTTATAGATTCTGGAGCTACCGATCATTTTACCTGTAATTCCTCCACATTTGATTCCTTGACACCTCCGCCTGTTCAGTCTGTTCAAGTGGCTAATGGGACACCTGATAAAGTTAATCGTAATCTTCGACGATCTCCGAAATCTTATTCAATCTTCGACGATCTCCGTAATCTTATTCAATCTCATTGACATTATGTTAGTTAATCAATAGAGGTGATTGTAAGTGATTTGTTTTTTCGGATGGAAGAGCAATGATTTGGAGAAAATGAAGAGGTTAACTCTCCATTTCTCTATTTTATCATGCCCACATTAGTATTGCGCATTTCCTAGGGAGATTTGCTCTGACTTTTTCCCCCAACTTTGGAGATGTGTTTTTCCTGTTTTCTGTGACTGAATCGTTGAATTTTTTGGTGGTGCCGAGGAAGCCAATGTTTTATGGAGGTTCATGATAACTCTCACGATGTAAAAATGGCGTGAGAGGAACACTGGAATTTCTTAGATTCTCTTAATGCTGATTTCTTATGGGTTCAAGTAGTATTTCTTTCTTCACTTTGGGTGAGGGCTGCAGGCTGTTTCCCTGGTCTAGCTATACCGAATATTCAACTTGACTGGAACACAGTTTTTTTTACTTTATTTCCCTGACTTTCTACGTTCTGTACTCGTTCTTCATTTGTCTTCCTATCTTTTATCAAACTCTGCTTGTATTGAAAAGTTCACATACTATGCACATGACATATTGGTAATATGTTTGAGCAACATTTTGTCACACTCTTCTTTGAGGCTGGAGCTGTTGTTTCCTCATTTTGGAAGTGAGTAAGCTTTTCTGTTGGTTAGATTACTGATTTGTATGGTGCAAAATAAAACCAAAATAATTTAGATTTGATCAAAATATTTGTAGAGCAGTGTGCTTTTTCAAGTGTACTGCTGAGGTCGCAGTTGGAATTGTTTGGTGTACATATAGATAGTGAAGAAGAAACTCTGTAGTTCTATGATCACTCTGATCTTGTGGTATGCATTTACAAGTAACTGGGTAGTGGGTGCAATGGTGTTTTTTTTCAAAGAGCACTTTCATAATGAAAGAGTTCTACTAAGAGGTATATCATCTACCTCTCCTATACACGTGTATCCAAATTTCAAATGCAAAAAACTCTGGGCTATTATGGTGTTCTCATATTGCTGATTATTGTTCTTTTTAATGAAAGAGTGCTTTTTATTTTAGATTGTCGAACACAGTTTTTTGGTGCATTTGGAGGCTCAGTTCAAAATTAGCACAATGATAGGAAATGTTTTCAAAAGCTTCTGACACATATGCCTTGAGGGATGCCTTGTACGAGGTGTTCATTAGGAGCCTCAAAGCTTTTGCTTTGAGTGCCTTTTGTCAATGCTTATGCCTCCCCATGCTTCAAGTTATTAACATCTGGGCGGTTGAGGCATGATCATCTTAAATTAGCGTTTTCTGGGCTGATATTTATACCTCAACTTTTTGGATTGATTTTTCTTGCGTTGTTCCTGTATTATGGTTTCTTTCCGATGTATTTCTTTTCTTTTATAGCCATTTAAGCATAATCCTTTTATAGTTGGTCAATAGTTTCATTTGTTTTATAAATTTAGTTTTAGTTGTTATTTGTAGCCTTGTTATGTTATAATTACTTTTGCTATTTATCCATTCATTTTATGTTTGTAGTTTTGAATTAAACTAATTTTTTTTATAAGGTTTATATGTATTTTCAACATGGTTTTATTGTAAGTTTTAATCTTGGAAATTTTTACTTTATTTTGTTTGTTTTTACCGAGGGCTATCCCTCAAAGTGCCTCAAGGTTTATACCTTGCCTCGTGGAGACGAAACACCTTGTTTCCCGATTTAGCATTTTAAATATGAATAATAGTCAATGTTTAAAAAGGAAAAATCGGTTACTGAGTAAGTGAAAGCCATAAAGCAAAAAATTGTCGATTTTTTTTTAAAGAAAAATAAGCTCAAAATAAATCAGAAACAATTTTCAAATTTATAATAGACCAATTTAAAGTGTAGAAACAAAAAAAAAAAAGATCTATAATGTGNGAGTAAGAAACAGAATGTGGTCTCACTATCTAGTGCTGAGGCGGAATATCGCGCATTGCATCATGCAACTACTGAGCTCACATGGCTAAAACTTCTCCTTGATGAACTTGGCTTTGGTTCGGACAAACCTATGTTACTTTTCTGTGGCAATACTGCTGCCATTAAAATTGCGAACAACCCCATGCAACATGATAGAACAAAGCATGTTGAACTTGATACAAACTACATCAAAGATAATCTTGACTCCAAAAATATAGAGGTCCTATACATCAAAAGGGCGGAACAGCTGGCTGTTATAATGACACATGGAGTTGCTAGTGGTTCATTCCATACAATGATATCCAAGTTGGGCATGTGTGATATCTATGCACCAACTTGAGGGGGAGAGTTGAAATACATATATTATTATTCTTAGTTACCAACTTGTAGCCTTTGTAAATTGTTGGGGACTATGATGTAAATAATTCTTTTCCTTTCCTGTGTATACTTTGTCACGATGGATGAATGAGAACAAGAATCTTTTCTCCCAAAATCTACTTTTGTAAACAATGAATTGATAGCTTCTTGCCCATCTTTATATCTTGATGGCGTTTTCAGTAAATGATAGGTAATTAGGATGCTCTAGCTTGTTTGAACTCCTACCCTATATGGTCTTACATGCACATGATTGGAAATTTCATTGTTAATGCCTATATATGTGCATCTTGAGGTTAGAGTGTTCAAGCTTTTTACGATAACTACCTGTACAGGTTTTGGATGAATGTCTTCGTGCTATTTCTGGCTTTAAAGGAACTGAAGATCTTTCAAGTGATAAGTTGCCTGATAGTCCATTTACATCTGACTATGTCAAAACAAAGGCAGTCTCGTCTGCTCCAGTTTATGGATTAGAGAGCCCTGCTTCAACTGAGGATGAATCAAAAATGTGTGTTTTGGCCAGCGAGCGGTGGTCTGAAGCAATAGTCAAGCACATGCCTATAATCATTCAGCATTCATCAGCCATGGTAGGTTCAAATGATACTCCCTTTGACTTGATTGTCTCTTTAGGCATATCACATTTAAATGTTTGCAAGTTTAAATAACTTCTGAGTTTCTACGCTACTCCTTTACACAAACCATGTATCTCCAGAGATTCAGGAGAGTCTCCTGCGCTAATATGATGTCAGTGACTGCATTATTTCATCAAATTTTTGGTTTGGGAAGCTTACTGATTATGATAAGAAAGTTAGAGGATGCATCATAGTTTGAGATATTACGTTTCTGCACATGTTGGAGGTCTTGCACAGTAAGGTGGATGAGAGAGTGCAGAGGGCCTTTTTCTCTCTTGACAATGAGGAAATCTATGGTCCTTTATGATGAAATGATTTAAACTATAGGCATTTACCTGCCTTTTCTTACTTATGTACCTAATTTGCACTTCTAATGATACAAGAGGATAAATCTTACCCTTGCTTATTAATGTACATCTCTCCCTAGGTTGTAAGCCCGTCATTGTGCAATAGAGCAGAAAATAACACATATCAAAGCTCATTAGTGCTATTTCACGTTTGTATTTTTATATGTAGATAGCATATAATCACCAAAAGGGCATAAGTGAGAACAGATATGCATCCAATTCGCGTGTTATTACCTCTGATTTGCCTGCTTATACTTAAATGTTGTAATGCACCTATTTACATAGTAATGGAGATAGCTTCTGAAAGGTTGTAGCAAGTCTCATTATTTGAATTGTACTGGTTTTAAAATGTTTCTTTCTTGTTTATGCTGTTGTTGCCTTTTCATTGAAATCTCCATTTAGAGGTGGTATGTGTGTGGAAGTAGTATTACAATTTTTCAAACATCGCTATGATGATACCTTAAAATTCGTGGTTGGGCCCTCATGGTCCCTCATCATTGCCAAACTTTTCATTATATCAAGAGAACTTCGTACAGGTACTAATAGCAACCACAAGTTTTTTTCTTTGTAGAAACATTCTAGTAAGCTTAAAATGGATTAGAGTCTTTCAACTAAGCTATATTTTCTTGTTTGTTGTGTCTGGGATTGTCTTCTAGAATCATATTAGTACCAAAGGGGTTATCCCTCATTTCCTCTCGGTGAATCTGGGATCAAATGCTTTCTTCCCTTGTGCACTAGAAACTAGATACTCCAGATCTCTAGCTATTTCTTAAGTTGTCTATCATAGAAATAGCAACCCAAATTTCAGCATTTCCAAAAAAAATTGTTTGGAGAAAAGAATGTGATAAGTTACGGGAAAAAGGTTGGTACACTTCCTAGGGAAGTACATAGTTTATAGATGAATAAAAATATGATTTCTGACTTGTATTTCTCTAATAAGAGTTTACAATTTATAGAGTTCAATGATCACTAATTTAGGAAACTAATTCTATAAAAAGAAATAGGCAAAAGTCTCTCTTTGAGATAATAGACCCCAATGGCTAGATTTTTAGCAATTAAATTAGCAAAGGACTCAATCTATTTACAACTATACAATCTTGGAATCAAATCAGGGATTTAATTCCTTTTTTCCATGTCAAAC